GCCATCTATGAAAAACCAACAGCCAATATCATGCTAAATAGTAAAAAACTGAAATCCCTCACACTAAAATCAGGAACAAGACAAGGATGACCACTGTCACCACTGTAGTTTTGGAAACACTAGCCACAACAATTAGACAAGAGAAAGAAATAAAAGGAATAAAGATAGGAAATGAAGAAGTCAAATTGTCATTACTTGCAGATGACAAAATACTCTATATAGAAGACCTCAAGAATTCCACCAAAAGTCTTCTAGATTTAATAACCAAATTAAGGAGAGTAGCTAGATACAAGGTCAACACACAAAAATCAATAGATTTCCTGTACACACACACACACACACACACACACACACACACACACAAAATAAAAAAAAAAAACAGAACGCACTGAAAAACCAACTGAAGCAAAAACTCCCTTCATAATAACATCACAAAAAATGAAATATCTATGTATCAACCTAATGAAATAAATCAAAGATCTCTACTCTAACAACTATAGCACCCTGAAAATAGAGATTGAAGAGAATATCAGAAAATGGAAAGACAAGCCTTGCTCCTGGTAAGAAAAATCCATATAGTGAAAATGGCCATGCTTCCAAAACTGCTGTATAAATTCAATGTAATCCCAATGGAAATTCCTGCTCCGTATTTCACAGATCTTGAGAAAATAATCCAAAAATTTGTTTGAAGAAGAGACCTAGAAAAATAAAGGCAACACTAGGCAACAAAGACAAGATTGAAATAAATAGGAGTACTATTCAGCCATAAAGAATGAAAAACTGGAGACATTTATAGCTAAATGGATGAACATTGAGATGATACTTTTAACTGAAATAGATAGGACACACACGTGTAAATACCAAATGGCTTCTCTGGTGTGAGAAACTGAAAGTGTACATAAGGATCAAAATGTATAATAGTTAATGTGAAACAGGAAGAAAAGGTGCAAAGGGGAAGGAGAAGTTGGAAGGGTAGAAGAATGGAATGAGGGAATGGAGTTAATATGGGAAAATGAAAAAAATGGAAACAAAGTCTTTGTAAATAGAGAAGGTTGGAGGGGTTGAAGGGAGGGCTGAGGAAGAGGGGGAAAAAAAAGAATCAAGATATATTATGTAAAGGTACAAATCTCCAATGATGAATGTCATTATACTGTGTATCTAAAATGTACCAATAAGATTACTAATAAAAAAGAAAAGCTAAAGTAATAATTGTGTAGATACAGTATTTCACTTAATGTTGCAAAAGGCCTCTTGATTTGGTTTCTGAAAAATTTGGTTTCATCTGTTGCTTTACTTCTGGTATTTACCAGTTTAGTTGAAGATGGTATTAGAGAACCCAATCTGGTACTCACTAATGTGGGGTGGGTGACTGTTGCTAGTTCTTCTCAGTGCAAGCAGATGCATCTCACTTTCATGTAATATTTCTCTTTTAAATTCAAGAGTACAAGGTTTTTACTTAAAACCTTTTCAGTCTTGCAGAAAAAAATAGTTATGCCTAGTGAAAGTGTGGAGAGGGCTCATGAACAAAGTCCTGTGAAAACATATTTAGTAGAAGAGAGAAGGAAAGAAAAGAAGAGAGAGAGAGAAAGTGGGAGAGGAGGCTGAAAAAAACAGAGGAGCAAAGGATGTGATGTTCTAAAAGCAAAATAAGATGATATTCTGAGAAGGAGAAAACAATTGCCCTGAGTGATTCTGAGAAAGCAAGTAAGGAAAGGTGACAGTGCATGAATTTGTATTTATCAAAGGTCAGCAATTATTTTAACAGCTGTCTGGGGCCAAAACCCGATCAGAGTGGGCTTATGAGTAGCTGGGCGATGAGGAAGTAGAGACTGGATAGACATGTGTCTAAATCTCAAAAACCAAAGTAAGGCTGACCAGAGACAACCCAGTTTTCCTGAAGAAATATTCCTTCATTGAAAAAAAAGGAGATTTCTGTCAAGAAAAATTCGCTTTGAGGAAATCTGAAAGATAATCAGGTACCATGGTTTCAAAATATATATTAGTAGGGCATAAATAGTGTTCAACTCGGGTTTTCATTTATATTACTGAATTTCTTAGTGTATAGAATGATTCAATATACAAAAATGTATTTCCACATAATTCTTTCCACAAATCTGTTCTCTACACAGAGAATTTCTGTCTTCACTGAGCACTGTCTCACTGAAACCACAAGTCCCCTATGTCTCCCACTGCATCCAATGATTTACTATCAGTGCTCTGAATCAGCCTCGGATTTCTCTTTCTTCTAGCTGATTACCTGTAATTGAGATTGCAGAGATTCATAGGGCAAAGAAAGAAGACATCCAAATGTTGTAACAGCTTCACCTAAAATAATTACCTAGGCTATCCATTCTCAGCCTCACTGGCTTGGCCAGATGGTGTGTTTCTCTCCTCTACAGCCATTAGTTTATTTTAGCAAACCCTTGAGACTGCTTTAACATCCCATAAACAGAGTGGATGAAGGCCAGGTTCTTTCTAGGTTAATGATTTTCAGATCAGTATATTTGAAACCTAAGCACTGTTTCAGAAAAGGAAAAAAAAAAAAAAAACAGATGGGAAAGACGATCACTCTCAGTGATTATAACAGTCATAAAACAGCTCATGTTGGGAAAGGAACAGACCAGAGTTGAGTTTAGTTGCTTTTTTTAGATATCAGGTGATAGATACAAAAGTGAATTAGGCTTGTCTGTTGCTTCAGATACACTTAAGAAGTAAAGAGAGATGGTAAAGTCACAGTAAGTATTCATTTTCCTTTCTGTTTGGCAATATTTTACTTTGTTTCTGAGAGTTCTCTTTCTAAGATTGCAATTCTTTCTTTAAAAGGAAGGGACCATGATATTGACTAATTTCTAATGTATAGCAAGTAGCAAGTAATTTTAATGTTTTGAAGCAAAATAGTCTTTTCACTCAGAAAACTTCATTTAAAAAACACCCAGGGACTGAGTATTTTTAACTCAGTGGTGCTGTTGCATGCCTCACAAGTGCAAGGTCCTGAGTTCAATACCCAGTACAAAAAGAAAAAAAAAAAAAAAAAAAAAAAAAAAAAAAAAAAAAAAAAAAAAAAAAAAAAAAAAAAAAAAAAAACACCCAGTATGAATACGCAGAGTCAGCAAATTATTTCTGTTACATGGAAGAGGGTATTTTTAAAAACAGCTATAATTAAAAATGGGTTTATTTACAGATAATATATTGCAAGGCAGGGTATTTTTCTTGCAAAGGAATTTGTAGGAAGGAAATGAGGGAAGATCATAAAGAAAAGAAAATATAAAGGATTAATGATGTACTTTGATCCACATTTCTTCCTTCACATAGTTACAATAAGAGCCCAGGCTGGTTTCAGATTTTCTCTTTCTATTACCTTGATTACTGCTATCACCAGAGGGCTTCATTGTTTGAGCAGCATGTGGAACAAAGATCAAATTAAAACACCTTAGGCAGTTGTAGGGTAGAGGATGGGTGTAAGAGGTGTAGCTGAGTGTGGTAAAGGATCACTAATAACTATAATTTGCTGAGGAAAAATTATCTTTTCCTCTAACCTAATATTTACTTTTCAACTTAATATACCAGCTCCTGGATTGTCTACATTTGACAATTCTCATATAACTGATCTGAAAGATCAGAAGAAGCCATCAGGATACATCAGATACCATAAGAAATGGTCTTTAAGTATTGCAACAAATAGTTACAAATGCCTTTCTAATTGGCTAAAATCTTGTGGTAAGTATAGATTAGAAGCTAAACTGATTCCCAGAAATTTGGGACTTCAACAATGGCTGAAAAATCCCAATTTCACATATACTGGAAGGTAGCCAACATTCATGGAAGTGCATGATTCCATTAACACGTATAAGGTCTGAGATGTAAACCACTATTTTTTCTAAGTTGTAGTTACTATCTTGGTTACTTTCTCCTTGGTGAGACAAAATACCCAACACCCCAAATTAAAGTTTATTTAGTTCACAGTTTGCAGAGTTTTTAAGCCATAATCAACTGGCACCAAGGCAGAGTGGCATGGCAGAGGGGCATCATGGAGCAGAAGAAAAGTAGAAGCAGCAATAAGCAATAAACCAGGACCATAGCTCTTTCTGTCCCTTTATCTTATCCAGTCTACCTGCCCTTAGGGCAGGCAGCACTCACACCCTTAATGCTAACATTGCATCATAAATCAATCCCAGCATCAAATCCTTGATCCCAACAGCACAAACCCTAGACCTGGCCACCTCTGAAAAGCCCCACCTGTGAGTGCAGGAGACTTTGGGGGGACATCTAGACATGAGCCATAATAGTTACCTATTCAGCTTTCACATTAAGATAAAATGACTTGACTAGGAAGATGATGTACATTTGAAAATATTCTAGTTACACATTAATAGTAGTTAGGAGAGATCTTATATACTTGGAAACTACACCTTATTCTCTATTTCCAATCACTTATTAAAATATTTAAACCCCAAAAAGCACTTAGCTCCCCAAATGACTAGCCAAAATGACTCATATCCTAACAAAATAAAAATGCCCTGTGCTGAAGAGAGTATATAATGCATATGGGAAGAATAGAACAATATTTCAGACTTTGTCTCAATTTGAAACCTTTCTTCCACAAGAGGTAAGCACGCTTTGTTCTTTAGCTCTCAAATCTTACATTTCACAGCACTCCGCTATCCACTTTCCAAAAATTAAAAACCCTTCTAAATTCACACTAAGAAGCTGAAAGCATCTAAGGAGAGCCAGTGGGGCAATTGTCAATTTCTGTGTCTTCCTCTCTGTGTCAAAGAAACTTCAGTGTCTACCATTTCAAAGACACTGAATCTCAGTCAGTTTCTACTTGTCCTGAGGAAAGCAATCCCAAATGTCCTTTAACCATGTAAAATAATATTTTTATCTTCTATTTGATGTTAAGAACAAAACATTGCCAAATTGTACATGTGAATCAGTTCCCATAATTTGCCAAAAATAAAATAAAATAAATAAAAATAGCAAAAATCTCTGCCTTCACTCCTTCTACTGGGTACAGCAATACTTTTCCTTCCCATCTGCAGTAAGCCATCCATTTTTCCTGTGGAGTCACTGTTGAATCATGTTCTCTCACATTTGGGGATCCCATCTGTTGACTTTAGCAATGAACAGCCTAGGCAGAAAATGGAGAAAAAAAATCACAAGTGGGAAACTAAACCTTAAAAATGTGTGAAAAATGCTCAGAAAACACGTACATACATGCACATATTTTAGCAGTTTCCTGGAAACAATGGAAATCCTTTCCTTCTTGAAAGACTTCCCTTCCTCCCTCTGCTCTTCAATTCCCATCCAAAAACCAGGGTTCTGATAGCTGCTGGTGTCTCGGAGCAGTGCTGCGGACCTGGGGCCAGGAATACTTATGCTGTTAGACTGAAATACAAGCCTTTTTAATTAGACCCTAAAACTGCTTTTTAACACTATTTGTGAAGTTCAGGAACTGCACGGCTTTCTGTCATATAGATTCATGCTACCACCAAGCTTTCCTTTTAATTAATACACAAATAAAGCATGCGGAATGGGTCACCCAGAGATGACACATTTATCCTCACTAATGAGAGCAGAGTGCGGGGATGCTCACTTCTTGCCCAAGGCTATGCTGTTTTTAGTTTTTCATCCTGTAATTGTGGAATTTAATAGTTTACCTTGGCTTTTGTGACTAGGAAAAGAGACCCATTTTAGGAGGTTAAAAATCCACTCAGATATGGCACAGTTACAGTTTCCTGTGATTGGCCAGTCTTTAAAAATTTCAAGGTGGATGATTTCTGTCTTTCCAGACTTACTCCCCACTGCTTCCACCAACTTCCCAACTGGTAAGGGTTCGAGTCATTCTAACTGACTGGTGCGAAACACCAAGCCAGAGGCCTGCAAAGGAAATGACAGAATGTGAGTGAAGATGGCAAATGTTAGGAGAGAACAAAGACAACCTTCTATGGACTTGCTCAGTAGGCTTAGCCATGAAGCCTTTATTAAAGTTTCTTTCTAGATACAATGCCACAAATAAAAGTGAGCAAGAAAGAACTCTGCCCTTGAGTGCTGAAACATCGGGTGAGCAAGATGGATGATATAAATAACTGAAATATAAGGTAGACCAAGTTTAGTGAGGAGCATGTGCAACTGTACATGCTAGAGAAAGCTTCTTGAGGAAAGTAGAAAGTCAAAGTAGTTAAATGTTGAGCAAAATATTCCTTTCAGAATTGGGCTCTTTGCATTAAAGATGAAGCAGGAAACAGTGAAGACCCTGAACAAACAACTCTTTAACACCAAGATTGCAGCCAAAGAGACTCTTAATGATGCTGGCGGTTCAGCGAGTGACTGCTGTCAGTCTCAAGAGCCTTGAATGGAAGTTCATGCTTCTTTCCTTATACACCTCTTTTTACATCTACAAAGCTTAATTCCATCACAGTTTCCCTGGGAATAGAGCAAGCAGGATTTACTCAAAGCAGAGCAGTGGAGAGGGTGAGAGCAAAGAGCTCTGGCAGGGCTTTCCAAGTCCCTTATGCGCCTTTAGTGACAGATTACAGAAGTTGTCATGGCTACTCAGGTGCACTGTGTGGAGAGTTACCTAGTTAACGCATAGCTGCCTAACGACACAGTTAACCCAATATTCCCTAGTAACACAGTTAACTCATTGTTGTCCAATTTCATATGGAGATGTGGTCTCCTTTCTCAAAGAAAAATTTTATTTTTTATCAACATTGTTGTTTAACATATTTTCCCCTGTCATTGTATTCCTAGTGTAACATGATTAGGAAGGAATTGTTTAATGGAAAGCACAGAGAGGTGAAAACAAAGGGCTGGCTAAGGACAGTTGCAAATGAAAGCCTGGTTCAGAGACCAAGTGTTTTAGGAGAAAAAAATCTTAAGAGAAATAACCAACATATAAATCTTAAATATTCTTCAGTCTATGAACCTTAGGGGCATCTGACAGTCCTTCATTCTGTACATATATAGAAATTTCACAGTTCGGTGTTCTTTGTCATGACCACCAATAAAGCAAATGAAAACAATCTACCATCTATGTAGAGAATATTAATTTTGTCCTCCTTCTGAGTGGAAAGATACATGTGTATAAGATTATAAATTTCAATGATGAAATGGTTAATATGAGTAAAATTTTGTATTAAAATGTTTTAATAACATGTTTTATTTTGCAACAGATGTGAGCTACATATAGAAAAGTTCATCCTTATAAAGCAACAAGATCCAAATTATTTGTGATTCTTGGTAGTACATAGAAATACTATCTTCTGATGATAAGACTTTATAGGAAGGGAAAATATCTATGATCCAGTCCTGGTTTGTCCACTACGAACACCACTTCCATAGACAAAGTTTTCAAAATTCTGAAAATGTAAACATAGAATCTACTCATTTTTGGTACAGTTTTTGAGAATGGATACAGATACTGTTTGTGGAACTATCTTAAATATTTGCACATTAATATTTAATTAAATAGAATCTTGTGAATAGATGCTTTGAAATGTTAAATTAATAATAAGCAAAAGTAAGCTTCTTACTATTCAGCAGCCTAAAATCTTTTACAAAGTAAACAATCTGCTGTTCAAAAATGCCAACTTAGCAGTGCTTTCACAAGGTTTCATTTCTTGCTGGAGTTGGGCTGCTGTAACTACTGAAGCCAAAATGAATGTGATTTGCCAATATAATTGGCTGTATTAAAGCCACATAAGTCATGATTACCTCAGATACACTCGATGAACTGAAAGCATTGATAAAATTATCCATATAAATATGGGACCAAATATAGTTGAAGACAGTAGATCATTTGACTTTCAAAATCCTCAGGAGCCAAGAACTTATTAAATGTCACCACTAATAGCCTGGTATCACAAACACATAAATCTAGACACTTTAACCTCTTACCTAGTTTATATTTTTTCTTTTTAATTGAGTTTATTGGTACATTTTAGGGATACAGTACAGTTACATTCATTGTTAGGATCTTGTACCTCTACATGACAGGTCTTGGTTCTCATTTTTCCCCTTGTCCCTGCCCTCCCTTCACCCCCTCCTCCCCTCCCCATTTATGACCACTTTATTTCCATCTTTTTATTTTCTCACATTTTTTCTTTTCCTTATTATCCTTCACCTGCCCATCCCACCTTCCCTACACTTTTAGACCTTTTCTTCCCATTTCACAATGTCAGTCATGTCATTAGGATCTTATGTACTATTACAGTTTATTCACACCAGAAAAACTATTCAGTATATACACATGTATTCCTTATTTATTTCACTTAGGAGTATATCCTCAATATGTATCCATTTTCCTATGAATAAATCTAATTTCTCATTCTTTATGGCTGAGTAATATTCCATTTAATAGAAAAACCACATCTTCTTTATCCAATTTCCAACTGATGGGCAGATGAGCTGTTTCCAAGCTTTAGCTATTACAAACTGTGCTGCTATAAACATGGGTGCGCATACATCACTGTGATATGATTCTTTTAGTTCTTTTGTAAAGATACCCAACAGAGGGATGGCTGGGTCAAATGGAACCTCTAGTCCCAGCTCTTTGAGGTATTTCCATATTGATTTCCACAGTGGTTGCACCAGTCTGCACTCCCAGCAACAATGGAGAAGGGTTCCTTTCTCCCCTCAACCCTGCCAACATTTGTTATTGTTTGATTTCTTGATAGCAGCCATTCTTTGTGGGGTGAAGTGGAATCTCAGTGTTGTTTTCATCTGGATCTCTCGAATGACCAGTGATGTGGGACACTTTTTCATATATTTACTTGCTGCTTTTATTTCTTTGTCTGAGAAGTGTCTGTTCATTTCAGATGACCATTTTTGAATTGGGTCTTTATATTTGGGGGGCTGATTATTTTGAGTTCTTTATATACTCTAGATAATAGTCCTTTGAGGAGAAACTGGTAAAAAAAATTTTCCCACATTGTAGGTTGTCTCTTAGTTCTGTTGATGATTTCTTTTGCAGCGCAGAAGCTTTTTAATAAGATGAGATCCCAGTTGTTGATTCTTTCTGCTAGTTCCTGTGCTACTGAGGATTTGTTCATAAAATCTTTTCCCATGCCAATGTCTTCCAGAGTTCTGCCCAACTTATCTTCCAGTAAGTTTAGTGTTTCTGTTTTAATATTTAGATCTTTAATCCACTTGGATTTTAATTTAGTGCATGGTGAAAGATAAGGGTCCAATTTTAATCTTTGGCAGGTTGAGATCCACTTTTCCCAACACCATTTATTGAAGAGGCTATCTTTCCTCACTGAGTATGGTCAGCTCCTTTGTCAAAATTGAGGTAGCTGAGTACGTCTGGAATTGTTTTTGTGTCTTCCAATCTGCAGTTTATATGTTTTCTTAACACCGTTTTTGTTTTATTTTAGAAATGAATCTGCATAAATTCTTTTGTGAGTTTGGGCAATGCAACATGTACTTATTTGAGTCATTTCAAAATTCTTCAAATGAAAAGAGCTCAGATAATGGAGTAATTTTTAGTTAAATTTACTTTAGCTAATCTGCCCTTTAAAAGAAATTACAATTGTTTGAAAAAAAAATACCCACCGAATTTTGCTGTGATGCTGTTTTCTTACAAAATGTATTATTCAGAGATTGAATATACATATGTCAGAATCTTGCTGAGAGTGTGTAGCCTTTTAAAACTAATAGGTAGTAAAATATAACTCAGTGTTTATTTTCAGGTTATTCTTAGCAAACTCTTTTTCATGTTTTTCATTCAAAGTGTCCCAAATTAATGGAATACTGTCAAGTTTTGCTTAGATAGCTTATTTTTTAATTTTTAATTTAATTTTTATTTTTATTTTGGTACCGGGAATCAAGCTTGTAACCTCACACTTAGGAGGTAGTGAGCTAAATCTCCACTAAGTTAAATCTCCAGCCCAATGGCTTATTTCTTTTAAAAGGCAAGGAGGGGTTGTTGAAAAAATTAACTGGGCTCCATAGAAACCAAAATAAGAAACGGCAGCCAATAGGAGCCAAAAGTTCATTCTGGATCTCATTACGGACTCAGCTGAGTTTGAATCTTGGCTTCTCTCTTCTTGCTCGACTTAACTTTTCTTTTTCTGTAAACCAACTGTTTTATAGTCATAAGTGCGTATATATATATATATATATATATATAGCTTGATGAATTTTTATAAAATGAACTCACCGGTGAAGTTATCATCAGATCCATGAACAGAACCACTTACATGGCTAGAAGCCTTGTTTTCTCTCTCTCTGACATATAAGCCCTCATCTTCACAAGGTAGACTTCTGCTATTAACTCAGTTCTACATGTATTTGAACTTGACTTAAATAGAATTTTGTAAATTGTCTTCTTTTGTAGACCTGCCTCTATCACCTAAT